CACCTATAAAGCAGCAAAAACGAAAACTAACACCCAAAATCAGTAAAATTCAAGGAAAACAGATTTAAACTATGACACGAAACCAACAAACAACTAAAAGAAACAATTGGGTTGCCTCCCAATGAGCGTCTTTCTTTAATGTCTTTGGCTAGACATTATTATGTTTTTTTCATGGAGGATAAAATCTTGTGGCTCGTCTCATTGCTTCATCCTCTACATAGTCCTGATAGCCCTCGTAGATAGAATAATCTTTGGGCATACGAGTTACGGGCTTCCATGGACTAGTAAATGGCGCCAAACGAGTCGATGATAATTTGCATTCTCCATTCACTCCTCCCTCACTTGCATTTATTGGCACAAGATATCTTGCCATCGCCACTCTTAATTTATTCCTGTCATGAAATTCAAAATTGTCTGGTATAATAAAGTCAATTTCATTAACAGGAATTGAAGAGTAAGAGTTAGGAGAATAGTGATGAAGGAGTGGAGGGGATGTCACCGCATTTGGAGATTGTTCACTGGATTCATCCACTTGAATGAGTTGATCCTGGAGTCTCATTTTTTGCACTTCAACTTCCTTTTCAACTGCATCTTTAAATCCGTTTCCTTGAAACTCTTGCAGTTCCATGTCATTTGACCGGATAATTGCACTCTCATCTCCTTCAAGATTGATATTGGTTTGTGAGGGCAATTCTTCAAGGTGAGAAGCTAATCGCTCTATCTTGGATGTCAATTGACGCAATTGATCTGCCAGGTCGCGACAGCTCGCTTGTGTCTTCTGATGATATCGATTTAGGCTCGCTTGTGTCTCCTGATGAAATCGATTTGAATTAGCAATTAGTAAACCTATCATTTCTTCAAGAGACATATTTGACACGGAGGATGATTGCTGAGACTCTTGCTATTGAAAATCCATTAGCCCCGTCGCATAATTAAAATTGGAATTATCCCACCATTCTTGATCATACCCGTTTGAATAAGGGTCATACTGCGTTTGATATTGGGGTGGAAAATCTCCAAAAGTATCAAGTGGAGAACTTAAATTATCTTGAAATACGGGGCATGTGTCAGTTGAATAACCTGAGTCAAAATAAGTTCCACAATTTGCAACAGCCCATTGATCATTAGGAAAAACATGAGTCTCATAACCCCATTCAGGAACAAAGTCCAGTCTATCATCAAAATATGGAATGTTAGCAGCCATAAACTATATAAAAAAAAGTGAAAAATAAATTAAAAATGAAAACAAGGTGAACTCAAAAGGAAACAAATTAATCTGACACCAGTCCCCTGCAACGGCGCCAAAAATTGACAAGTGCCGAACCTGTACAATAATAAATACCTACTCGAGAAAAATACAGATTTTGTATATAGCGGTGAGTAGGGTCGAATCCACAGGGATTGGGGATAATTCGTTTCTTCTAGAGTTCAAAGTATGGGGGTTTTGGATTAAATGCTAACTAAATAAATTAACTGCAGAAAATAATTGATTAAGAGAAATAATTAAGGGAAAACTCTAGCCAAGGGTACACTTCAGAAATGGTTCAGGCACTGATCATTGATTCACAGATAATTCCACATTTATTAATAGACCAGTTATAGTTGTCATGCACGCGATAAATAACCAACCTTTCCTTAATTTCTCGATAGTTAAGGTACGACCGTTAACTATTTCTCTAACCCAAAAACAACCCTAGGTACGACCGTAGGATTTAATTTCTAGATTGCATTAATAATTAGAAAGGCCCAATCCTAACTAACAAACACGCTACGAGGGTTTGTTTAAACTAGATCATATGCTCCCCTGACATAAACCCAATTACGCCAGTTGCTACTGAGGTAGAGATAACGAACAATTACGGATTCAATTACCCCTATTTAGCAAAAATAGCCTATATGGATAATTAATTATTGCGCACTAATCAATCATACACAAGGCCATAGGAATTAAAATCAAGGAACATATAAATACCAATAAATGAAGAAAATAATTAAAACAGATTCGATCTCACAGTAATTGTTGAACCAAGTCTTCAGTTGTCCCCTTGACTAGAATTAAGAGGTTAGTCCTCCATTAATGGAGAACAACCATGTGAAAGAGCTAAGAAAAGAAAATCTAAAACTATGCTAAAAGCTGTCTCCGGTAGCCTTTCTTACAATTGTCTTTTTATAGCCAAAAGGAAGATGACCCAAGCTATCTATCCAGTGGTCCCCACAAATAAAGAACAAAAACAACTCTCAAAGCTTCCTACGTTTCTTTCCTTCAAAAGTCCAATGACTAATGCTTTTCCGTGGTCCCCGCCGCAGATTCCAAATCAAAGTACAAAAGGCAAGGCCTCTTGATGTCTCCTCCTCTTTTTCGTCTTTCATTGCTCTTAGGACTCTTAAGTACTCAAGACACTCCCAATTAGCAGAAGAAATGCAGTCCGCGTATATCACCATGTGGGCCAAGTCTGTGGCTTATTTGAAGTCTCAATTATCTCCAAAAGTCCCTCCTTTTTTGTAGTTTTTTGTTTCAATCCCTGAAATTGGGTCCAATGCCAAATATAAGTAAATATTAATAATTAAAACAATATTTGGCAAGGATAAAAAGGAAAATTAACAATAAAATTGCTAACAATTAACACCCTATCACTTTTTGAAAATTTAATCTTGTAATTTTTTTTATATGATTTACTTGATTTATTACATCCTCGTGCGATATTTTCAAAATACCCCTATTTAGTTGATCAATTTGATTAGTGCTGCCACAGAGGTCCTTATGTGGAACCACAAAATAGGTTCACATATCAAATTAGTTAGAAATAAAAGTTAGGAACTACATTTGCACTGGTACAAAAGTTTATATACGAAATTGGCTATTTACCCAAACCAATTTATCAAACTATCACCAATTTTGCCGGTCCTACGGAATGGCGGATTAGCCATTAAAATTTCTTGACTATCGATTGTGTGTCTGCATATAGTTGATATATGGTTTAATTGTTTTTCTTTTTCATTTTTTCCTTTCTCCTATCAATTCATGCCATAGAAATCTCTCCCATATAATATTACCTTGTGGACCAATAACATCAACAGATTCAGTACTATTTTCGAACTTTACCTCAGTCACAAAAATCTCAAATTGCTACAAATTACAGTGGTTCTTATGAAAATACCAACCCAAATACAAATACACAATGCTATTAAAGACTAAACATGTCACTGTTCATCCTATTTCTTAACTGAATAAGAGAGAAATTTCCAAGTTGATGATGAATTTTAAAAAATTTCTGCAAAAAGGGTGTTTTAAGTGTAGAATTCCACCAATGCAATGTCCCATTAAATTTCCAATCTGCAAAAGAAAAAAAAAAGAATTACTTCATACCTCGCATTAAACAAATATGAGGCACGGAGCCTTTTATTTTTCGATCCCAGTCTCATGCGTTTCTTTTCTTTTGGAGTGTGGATTTTTTTTATTTTTTTTTTTTGTGAAATTATGGAGAACGAATTTTGATAGGTTGCAATTTATTGCTAAATTTATAATTATTTGTCCCTTGATCTTAGCCAAATATTGTGTTAATTGATGAATTCTACTCATATTTGGTTAATGGTCCTAATTGTGTCAAACATTTAGGAATAGATTGCCTAAACTTCAGCCGGAATATGAATGATTTACAGGAGTTGTAAATTGTTTGATGCTCTAACGTATAAGTTCTTGGGTGCTAAAGCAGACATTGCAGCTTAGCACATGAGCAACATGGCTCATGTATGGTACCATTTTTTCCCTTTTTGTTTTAATCAAACAAGTCACATGTTGCATACTTTTTTTTTTTTGTCGAAACGATATGTGATTTTATAGATGAAAAGAACCTTTACAGTTTCAAGTAAAGATTTGATCGAACTTTACAACCAGTGCATACTAACACTGAGGAATCCAAAATTCCTGATCTACAACAAAGTCTAGCGCTTGCACGCTTATCCTATGAGTTATATGGTTAAGATTCCTATTAATTAAACAAAAGGAGCACATACGAAACAAGGACTTAAGACTATAGATATCCTCCATCAAGGTGAGCATTCGCATTTCCTGAGATTTCCTTTGCTTGAGGAGAGTAAACGTTACCTTGTTCTGGATTTGCACTTCAATCTTCTCCAACTTCTGGACAGCAGCTTTACTCATCAATAGTTTGATAGCTATGAGCTCATCCAGGACCTGGTGTCCAGAACTTCGTTCTTGCAACGTCCACCCTCGTATCATGCTTTGATTGTCCCTTGTTATAGTGACACCTATCCCAAATTTAGGGGTGTATTTGCTCTTTTGTATTGCAAACCTTAGTCACATGTTGCATACTTGACCACAGAAAAAGTAAACATGTTGACCATAAAATGTTGCTTGTTTAAAATGAAATAAAATACTAATGCAATTACACCTTTTACTTTCCCAACTTAACAATAGAAATCAGTTTATCAAACTATCTCCAATTTTTCCAGTCTTATGGAATGGCAGATTAGTCATTAAAATTTCTTGAGTATCAAATACATGTTTGCAAACAGTTGATATATGGTTTAATGGCTTTTCTTTTTCATATTTTTTCCTTTCTCGTGTCAATTTATGCCATAGAAATCCCTCCCCAATAATATGACCCTATGGACCAATAACATTAACAGATTTAGTACTGCTTTCGAACTTTATAGGTTTGGTTTGTTCTTCCACACAATTTAAGAAAAGTTAATTAATTTTGTTGGAAGAATAAATCTAGCATATTATCTTTCTAAAATTCCCTTACATTAAATGGAGTATGATTAATTAGCTTTACATTAAATAAGTTTGGTTATACTCAATAACAACTTACATTAAAAATAAATATTTTAAAGAAAATTATAAGTTAACTACATTCTTCAATTGAATAGTGGATAATAATTTAGAAGAATGAAAAATAAAATAAACCTAACAAAGTGGGACAGAGGGAGTAAAATTTAATCAGCCGTTCTATAAATAGGCCCGGTTATCCCTAATAGAAGTATAGTCTTCCACTCTCCACAACCAAAATTTTTATGTGCCAATCGCTATACTGTCGTTGGGATGATGGGCATAGTGTTTAAACTTGTCCTTTTGATTCTCATGCTTTGCCCCCTGACAATCAACTCAAGCTTTCAGTACCTTACTTTTGTGCAACAATGGCCGAAAGGCTATTGTACAGCTAATCCAAGCAGATGTCAAAGAAACCCTCTACCAACTGTTTTCACAGTCCATGGTCTTTGGCCGGGCAACTTCACCAAAATTTTGCAAAATTGCACAAAATCTGCATATACTCCACTACAGGTAATTTCTACAGGGCTTTCTTATGTCTTGAACATGAAATATGCACTTACACAGGTTCACTAATGTAATGATCATTCTTGTAAGCAGAATTTCCAGGATTGGAACAATAGAAACTTACGGTGGCCAGACCTCGCCAAACCATCGCCAACTATGCAAAATTTTAAACAGCCGAGGTTTCAATCATTTTGGGAACATGAATGGACAAAGCATGGGACGTGCTCGGAAAACATGTATCCCCAAGCTACATACTTCAGCAGGACTATTCAGCTCAGTCAAGGACATAATATTTTGAACTATCTTGCCACAGGCAACATATCTCCCGGCAGCAATCCTACCGTAAGGTCGGTAAATTCTACTATTTACAGAGCTATCAGTAACCATGTGCCAGATTTGATGTGTGTGACTCCTCCCCGTCAAACTCCAGCCTTGGTAGAAATTGGCATTTGTTTCACTGCTACTATGACAACGATTATTGATTGTCCTTCACAATTTCTGCGAACTGGGAGTTATGGCACCGGCACGATAAGTTTCCCTGCATAAATCATCTCACCATTTCCACCACACTTTAGTACTTCTGATTTAAAAATGGCATTGAACATCGTTATTGTGATGGAAGATCATGTAATAAATCAAATTAATTCTGAGATGAAGTGTGTGAAACAAGAATAATGAAGACAAGTAAAAGTTACAACATTACAAGAGAGCTATTATGGTATTATTGACTCGCTGTCGGATTTCATTCATTGTCAGCATTTACTTTTCAAACTGAAGCATTAAACTAATTCAATCATTAAATTTAGTTTGTTTCCGTTGCTTAAGTATAAGTTTCTGCTGACATTCATCTTTATGACCATGCCTTGAAACAAATTTTTAGGTTTGGGGTGACAAACAATGTGTGCGGAACAATTGCACCCAAAAGTTGTTAAAAAAAAGGGAGACTTTTATAGTTCTATGAGATGTAGTCAGTTTACACTGCGTTTAGATTGAACTCAATGGAGCACTTATGCGCATCAACTGTTCCTCCCTTGTTAACCAATTTAGATCGTTCTGGAAATAACATGCACAATAAATAATTCACGCTCTAAAGCTGAATGTAGACGGATCTTCTTTGGGTAATCCAGGACCTTCAGAAGGAGTGGGGATTATACGCAACGTTAAGATTAACAAATTTTGTGGCAGATGCTTTGGCAAATCTAACTAGCTCTATCCAGACAGGTAAAACGTACAATCTTATCAATTTACAAAGTTGGTTAGCAGCATGCTAAATTTAGATAGAATCCCTTGATTTTTGTAATCCTCAATTAGCTTGGAAGGGAGTAGTAACCATTGTTTATGTTTTGTTACTTCTACATTCAAATGTGATTTCCAAGAGGTTAGGTACATGCCTCCCTATATTATCTTAGTGAAATTTGGTTTGACATCTCAAGCCCATCTACAAGGTTTGCCATTATTAAAAACAAAAAGTGGTATTGCATATAAAGTAGTTTTCATGTTAAAGATGATCTATCCAAATCAAAAAAAAACATTCACTAAAATACCAATTCATTTATCAACAAACATATATAAGAGATTTTTTTTTAATAAAAGATAATTGATCTAAAAGAAATTACTCAAATACCAATTTGCATTTCAGCCTTTACATTTAAGATTAAAACAATTACAATTTAGCATAAAACCCGTGTTTATTATCGGCTTCTTTTGAGAAGAGAAAAAAAAGGAGAAAAAAATCAAGGCCCAACTCTTTATGATATTCTATTCATCTATTTGGCCTAAATATAAGAGAGAACTACATTTTTTATCCCAATGTTTAGTTGATGTGCAAAACTAGACCCTAAGATTTCAACCAATACAAATGCAGAGCCCAAAGTTTCTAATTTTAGGCAAATTTAGAACAAGCTGTAAGAAGGATAGACGTGCATAAGTAGCTTATGTATACTAGTCATTCACTGGTTAACAATTAGAGAGCAGCGCTTGACTCTCCATCCAACTAGGATAGCAGGAGCTATTTCGACAAGTGTTAATCTACATTTTCAAATCTTACATATTTTGCCCAAGTAATAATCATTGTACTAATAACAATCATTCCATTAGAGAATCTCAGCGAAAGATTCCAACTTTATTGCCCCAAGTTATTATCCCAATAATTGCGAAACCAAAAAAGAAACATTTTGCAGCCATTTCCCGCTTCAGATTGTCTTTGAATACTTCAGCTGATTCCGTCCAAAAAAATTCTAATTCGATGCTACCAATATGAATCAAGTGTGTGGATGAGTGTGAGGTGACGGTGAGCATTTACAGTGGATCAGATCTTGCGACCAGAGGAGAATTCGGAGACGCATCCGGCAGCAACGATGTTGTCGAGGAGGGACTTAACGATCTTCCATTCTTGGAGGAAGTATATCTGCATAACGATTTGCGAAGTATCACGTTCGTCATCGTCTTCACTTACCACTTGCTTCACTACATCTTCGATTGCTTCCTTAGTCGCCACTGCCATTCTCTCTTTACATCTCTCTCTTTTTTTTTTTATTTCTTTTTCTTTTCTTTCTTTGTGTGGGGGGAGTTGAATTCTAATCTCAGAACGAGCAGCTGAAGAAAAGAGAAAGAGTGAATGGCTGAAATGGAAGGAAATGGAAAACTGGAAAAAAATGAAAGAAGATTTGTCTTTGCATAGAGGAAAGAAGGAATCAATGAACTTGTAGATCTAAAGGCATGACTTACAAGGAAGAAACAGATTTGCCATATTTTGTTGGACATTTTTGCCCCCTAAAAAATATTCCTGCATGAGTGAATGCTTGTAACCAGATGATTTATCACTAAAATTCGGTAAAATGACTCTGCTAGCACGTTTATGCCTTGTAACCAGATGATTTATCACTAAAAAAAAGTTTGATCACCAAAGGATGCTATTTTGAGTAGTTGAGCGATCATTCCGGCCATTCACTCTGTTCCCAATTAATCATAAAGTGACTAAGTAGCGATCCATTCAATTAATCTTCTCACTACTTCTCGCGAGCTGTGAGAAAGTGATCCCACTAAAGCAAGGAGAGCCCTTGATGAAAGCTACAAATGAGGAGTGCCCTTGATGGACCCAAGTGAGTAAGTAGCAGTCCATTCAATAAATCTTCTCACTACTCGCGAGGAAATGATCCCACTGAAGAAAGGAGAGCCTTGATGAAAGCTGCAAATGAAGAGACCTCTTGCAAACTGCAAAGAAGATTCTTAACGGCAAAGGTAAAGCTTGATGATAAACTTAATGGCTGAAATCTATAGATAAGACGTACATCACATAATTTTCAATAAAAGACAGGTTCAAGCCAAAAAAGTAGGTGTATTTCTAGAATTTAAAAGTTGAAATACGTCCAGAGGAATAAGTTCTAAGCAAGTAAACATCTAACAGCTATATATAATATGGGGCCTTATAGTTATAGCGCCTGTGTCACTTAATATATGGAAATCAAAACCATCGCATAGGTATCTATTTTTCTACTATTTGTTTTGAAGGTATCTCTTAGATATGTAAACTAAACAAAGATTAAAATATGAGTAGTTATATTCCACTGTATCTTCATATACAACCCAGATTGACATGAGCTAGGAATAAAAATTACTGCAATACATTTTTTATTTTACATGTATCAAATCATTAGAATATATATATATATATATATTTTATAAAAATTTTAGAAAACAACAATCCAAATGGGCATTTAGAATATAGATTCAAAAAGAATTACGCTTTTTGCTTTAGGGAAAAAGAAAAAGGATTAGGATCGTTGCTACTTCGTTTCACATCAATTTCCAGTAGAGGTACAATACAGATCAATAATCAGAGTTATTAATCTGAGTAGTTGGCATTTCGTTTTCTTTTCTTTTCCCCATGTGAATAATTTGTCCGGGGACCGGCCGTCCAAATGGGTCGATTCTAAGAAATGACTAAGACAAAATGTTAATCACTAATGCGAAGCTTCAATTGATATCCTCAGGCTGGTTAAAGGAAGAACATCTGTCTAATGCACATGCTTAATAATTACGACCACCGGTACCTCTTTGTACGACCGGACATAAAACTCCGGAACCTGCCCGGTTCACATTTATTTATTATACTAGAAAAAATAATTTTTTTTTATATTGTCATTATATATACTGATAAAATTAAACGGATATCACGTCATCTGAGTTTGAATTTGTACACCAAATTTTGTATATATGATATGCATCTAGATTGATTAATGTATATACTATCAGTGCACAAAGAAATAAACATTTCCATGTCTTTACTCCAAAAAGAAAAAGAAAAGCATTTCCATGTTAAGTAGGCTTCTCAAGAAAAGCATTCCTTGAAGATGTTGGACAACCAACCATTCTCCATTTCTCAAATTTGACGGCCGGCCCCATAACTCCATGATCTATCAGCACCAGTCATTGTTTTTAGACCTCCTATACTTGAAATTATTCCTGCCATCATACCTAACGTCCGTGCTAAGCCATACCCAAATTTTGCATACAATAATGCCTACATATTTGTAGTAATAATAATAATCAATTGAGCTACCTATAGGTGTAGCCAGCAGTCCAGAAAAGAAAGTGAACAAAAATAATTAAAAAAAAAAAAAATCACCATTGTTGTGTGAATAGGGCTTAGAAAAGTCAGCCAATATCATTCAACCAATAATGTTAAAGGCCTACACCAAACCCTAGCCAAGTCTTTCATCTGAACGCTTTCAACAACCAATGAAATTTTAGAATTTGTCCGTTTACGGTGCTTACATATCTGACAGGTGTATTAATCATGCAGCTCTCACTAATAGAAGAAACAAATTATTGTTCATTTGCTAAAATAACCGTTTCAGCAGCATCATCTACTGTCAAATGGTCTCAGCCAAAAAGGGTTAGGGTTAATTAAGAGGTCAAAAATAAGAATTTCTTGCTCCAGCCTCACCAATTCATGGCTGTGGTCCAGAAGATAATTTATGCTCGTAGCATATATATGAATCTTCTTCTGATAGAAAATAGAAATGTTTCAGTAATTTATTTATAGGTAGACGTAAAAAATTTCGCAACTCACAATCCAAACAAAATGAATGGATAAATATGAATATCATATCATCACTTTAAGCTGAATGAATATTCATTCATCTGCATGAAGGTAACGGTAACGAATTTATGTAAGGGCCCATACATATATTGCAAGAATAAGATTTGATTGGAACTAGACTTGGGAAGAAAGGGCAATTTGATCCATCCACTTGGCCAGGGGATGCACATTCGTTGCGTGATTGGCATAATTGTTAATGCCCGGGGCTTTCTGTATCTATCCTATTCCTTGAGATGGGGTGAAATTTGAACAGACAAATTCTTTCTTTCTTTGTGGTATTATAAAAATCACACATGTTGGGTAAAAAAAAAAAAAAAAAGGCCAATGTTGACCGTAGTGTTTCATTTGTTCCTTATTATTTTCTTTAACAAACAGCAATATGCAAACTATTATACTTTAAGGGGAATGAGCAAGGAACTCAACTGGCTCGTATAAAATGTTAAAAATCTCTGGATAAATCCCCTCAGGAGGAGGAATTGCCAAGCCATTTGACCCTTCACCCATTCCAACATTTCCGGTGCGCGTTCGTCGCAAAATATTTCTACACCGTATCATACCTAATGCCAGATGGTTGCCAAAAGCACAGACCAGAAAACACAAATATGCGTCCCCGCTATGCCCACGCAACTCCAAACACCCGCGGCACTCGTTAGGAAAAGAGTCATCTAAAATTGAGAGCTATATTACTAACA